GATCCCATTAGCGGCTCGGTGGGGTGGTCTGAGCCCCCAGGCTGCCTTTTGAGCTGCCTTGATCCAGGCTCACCAGGGCAGGGGGTCCCCATGGGGCTGAGCCCAGATTTGCCATTTCTCCCCCTGGTGTGCTGACTCCCCTGTCCCAATGCAGGTGAAGGCAGAGATGGAGACGCTGGTGCGGGAGAAGGGGGTGAACTCCTTTCAGATGTTCATGACCTACAAGGACCTGTACATGCTGCGGGACAGCGAGCTCTACCAGGTTTTCCGGGCCTGCCGTGACTTCGGCGCCATTGCCCGTGTCCATGCTGAGAACGGCGAGCTGGTGGCTGAGGTGAGCGCTGGGGTCAAGGGGTGCCCAGCAATGATGGGCAACAGCCAGGTGCTTGGGGCAGGCAGAGCTCCCAGTGTTACCCCCATCCTGACATTCCCCTCTGTTTCCCAGGGAGCAAAGGAGGCTCTGGACCTGGGCATCACAGGGCCAGAGGGCATCGAGATTAGTCGGCCCGAAGAGGTAGGTGACTGCTGGCATCCCCAAGTCACCACACAAACATGGCTGGGGTGTTCTGGGGCACCCTCATGGCTGGCATCATCCATGCATCCATCTATGCCATCCATGTGCCTGTCTGTGCCATTATGTACCCTTCTGCACACCCATCCTTTCACCACCCAACAGTGCCACCAAGCCCAACCCTGCACCATGCCCCAGCCAGGGCGTTTTGCCATGCCATGCTTCTCACTGCCTGCTCTCTCCACAGCTGGAAGCCGAGGCCACACACCGCGTCATCACCATTGCCAACAGGGTGAGTGGTCCCAAGCTGGAGGTTGCACTGGGGTCCCATCCATGAGCACACTGGGTGTGTGGCACACAGCAGTGCTGGACCGCAATGGGCATCCCACCTCCTTGTGTGGTTGGGGCATCCACTTTTGCTGCAGCTGGGGGTGCGTGCCCTGGTTCCATAGGGGGAACCCACTGGGGGCATGGGGAGCCCCCATGGAACCAGAGCACCACAGGGAACAGTGACACTGACCCCCTCTCCACAGACCCACTGCCCTGTTTACCTGGTGAATGTCTCCAGTATGTCCGCAGGGGATGTCATTGCTGCCGCCAAGATGCAAGGTAGATGGGCACTCTCAGGGCGGGATGTTTCCCCCCCCAGGCTGGCAGTGGGGTGGGACATGGGCACACACGGAATGTGTACATGCAAGTTTGAGTGCCTGTGGGGTCACAGACATGGAGCACAAGTAGGGATGTGGGCATACAGCAGCAAGGACACATGGGCAAGGGGCACATGCATGGACACAGACATGCCCACAGACATGACACACATGTGGGGTGAATGGGGGCACCGGGAAGGTCATGGGCATGAAGGGATGTGGACATGGGCACATGTAACATGCAAAGGCATGGATAAGCATAGCACGGGAGGTATGGGTCTATGGACATGTAGGGACACATGGGCACTTAAATGGACAGGGACATGGATGGGAATATATGGGCCCAGGAGCACATGGGTGCATGTGAGGACATGCCCTTGGACACGTGTGCACGTGTGGGCCCACAGCAGCTTGGCTTGCACAGACATGAGCACACATGTACACACATACACATGTGCCCTATACATGATCCTCTGCCCCGGCAGGGAAGGTGGTGTATGCGGAGACGACCACAGCGCACGCCACGCTCACTGGGCTGCACTACTACCACCAGGACTGGTTCCATGCTGCTGCCTATGTCACCGTGCCACCGCTGCGCCTGGACACCAACACCTCGGCCTACCTCATGAGCCTGCTCGCCAAGTGAGGCACCCTGGGCACCCCCTCCCTGCAGGCCGTGCTCCTTGGCACCCCTTGCCACGCTTGCTGGTGCTCTCCAGGCATCCCTGGTGTCTGCTCCCAGGTGCTGTGCCATCCAGCTGCCCCATTACCCCAGCACTACGTGTTCTGGCACCCTGCTCTCCTAGTGCTGCACTCTCCAGACATCTCAGGCACTCCCCTCCATGGGCTAACCCCCAAGCACCCCACATCCCCAGCACCTCATTTCATGGGCACTGGGCTCTCCGGGCACCTCACCACTCACTGAGCACTTGAGATGTTGGATGTCCCATTGCAAGGGCCCCAGTCCCTGGGCACCCTGCTGCCTTGGGTGCTGAGTTTGGCAGACACTCCATTACCTGGGTGCTAAGCTCCCCAGACGCCACACTGCATGGGTGCCCCAATCCCTGGGCACCCCACTACACAGGTGCCCCACTCCTCAGGCACCCCACTATGTGGGTGCTGAGCTCCATTGGCACCCCATAGCATGAGTGCCCCCATACTCGGGCACCTGGCTCTCCAGGCATTGAGATTCCTGAACACCCCATGGTGTGAGTGCCCCATTCCCTGCAAATCGAGCTCCTCAGGCGTCCCACTATGTGGGTGCTCCATTCCCTGGGTGCTGAGGTACCCAGGTACTCACTCCATCACTAGCTGACTATGGCCAAGCCGCCCTGGTCGTGCGATCAGCAGCACTGCCCTGTCCTCCCGCAGCGACACTCTGAACATCGTGGCCTCCGACCACCGGCCCTTCAGCACCAAGCAGAAAGCCATGGGCAAGGAGGACTTCACCAAGATCCCCCACGGCGTCAGCGGCGTGCAGGACCGCATGAACATCATCTGGGAGCGAGGCGTGGTACGGGGGTCCCACTCCCCTCCGTGCCCACAGGCACCCCTAGGATGGGGCTACTCCCTGGCTCTTGGGGGCTCAGTCTTGGGGCCGACTTGGGCTGAGCTGGCCTCTGCTTTGGGGTGGAAGGGCCCTTTCCCTGGGTCCCCAGGATGTCCCACGGGGTGTTTGCTATCCAGCATGGGGCCAGCAAGGTGCTCTGCAGTGCAACCCAGTGGGTCCCAGCTAGGGGCATGGCCCCAGCAGCACCCATGAGGTGTTTGGGGTGGGCAGTGCTTCCGGGCTAGGGCAGGATGCAGCCCTGCACATCCTCACCCCACTCTGGCACCAGGTTGGGGGCAAGATGGATGAGAACCGCTTCGTGGCCGTGACCAGCTCCAATGCTGCCAAGATCCACAACCTGTACCCCCGCAAAGGCCGGATCATCCCTGGGGCTGATGCCGATGTCGTCGTCTGGGACCCTGAGGCCACCAAGTAGGTGCAGCCAGCAAGGGGGTTGGGGAGGGGTCCCTGTGCCTCCGAGCACCCACTCACCATCCCATCCCCCCACCCAGGACCATCTCGGCTAGCACCCAAGTGCAGGGGGGGGACATCAACCTGTACGAGAACATGCGGTGCCACGGGGTGCCCCTGGTCACCATCAGCCGCGGGCGTGTGGTCTATGAGAATGGTGTCTTCATGTGTGCTGAGGGCACCGGCAAGTTCTGCCCACTCCGCTCCTTCCCGGACTCTGTCTACAAGAAGCTGGTGCAGCGGGAGAAGGTAGGGGGGCACGATAAGGGCTGTGCAGGGCTGTGCCATGGCATGGGGCAGGGTTGCTGGTGCTGGGAGGATGGGTCTGTACCATGCTACCCCAGTGTCACACTGTGCTATGGTTGGTACCACCATGCAGCGTACTTCATGCAGTGGGTGGGAGAGGACAGGAGCAGCAGTTGTGTCCCTGAGGGTGATGTACAATGGAGGACACCCCATCTCCTGCACTTACTTAGGTCTTTGCCTGTGTGCTGGCAGCACAGAGGGTTTGGGGATTCTTGCCCTGCACACTGTGGTGGCCTGTGGTCATACCTACACATCGGGGCCCTCTGCATCCCGCTGTGCCAGGCTCTCTGTCCTTGGCTGGGTCTCTCCTCTGCAGCCTCACAGCTCACAGTGGCCCCACATGCAGCGGGGCAGGGACACATGTGGCTGGGACAGGAGGGCCTCCAGGACATGCACCCTCTGGGCTGCAGGACAGGTCTTAGCCACACTCAGAGGCTGCAGAAGCTGCTCTCGTCCTCTTCATCACGTCAGGGGTTTGGCCACCACTGCCAGCCCCATCTGCCCTCATGGGTCCCGAGGCTTTCCAGGGGTGAGCACCTAGGACCTCCAGCAGACACTGGCACTGGGGACCTGTCCGTGCCCCTCTCTGCACCCAGCTGCAGGGCGTGCACTGAGGGCTTGATAAGATGCTGATACTGTGATGGAAGGGGATAGTTGGGGCATCCTGGCACTGTTGTGGGGAGGCAATGGCCAGCACTGGGATGCCTGGCTGGAGCTATGTCTGGCCAGGGGCAGCACTGGGGCGCACCAGCACCTCGCTGCAGGGGGGGGTTGGCTTGGCATCACCATGGAGACAGGGGTAAGGGG